GTTCGCGGGCCGCCGCAGCGTCCGCGAAGCCGTGGGCTCGGAGGACGCCCTCGAGCCCTGGGCGGATCCGCCGCGGCTCGGCTGCCTCCGCCCGCGGGGCCGCCGCTGCCAGGCGCCGCGGCGCCGTGGCGCTCGGCGGCGCAGCCATCAGGCTACCAGCGCCAAGCGCAGGCGGCGTGGGCGGGGCTGCAGCAGGCTGCCGCAGCGCTGGCTCGGGCGCCGCCTCGGTCGCCTGCACCTCCGAGCCGTGGCCCTGCCTGGCCTGGAGTGCCGCCGCCCAGCGCAGGCGCGTGCTTGCCGTTGGCGAGGCCAGCGGCGCGATCGGCTCCTTCGACGCTGGCAGGACCCCACGTGCGAAGTCCGACCGCGCCTGGGCTCTGGATCCCTTCTTGCTTTTGGGCTGCCCCGCCGCCGCGCTGGCCCCGCACGGCTTGCCCAGGCCGCGGTGCGCGTACCTGGGGAGGCGGCAGTACATCCAGCAGGCCGCGCAGACCAGGAAGGGCTCGGAAACGTCGCCCTCGACGCGCGACTCCATGAGGAGGTGGCCGTTGACCCTCCATCCCGCTAGACGGGTCGCATCTGCCGCCTCCGCAGGGGCTGGGCCGCTGCTCGTCGCCTCCGCCGCCGCCAGGCGCGGGCTGGGCGCGGGCGCCGAGGCCTCGCGGCGCCTCGGATGCTCCTGCGCCCTGCGCTGGGCTACACGGCGCAGCACCTCCGCGGGCGACTCGGCCGAGGCGGGGCGGCGCCTCGCGGGCGAAGGCCGCGAGCTGGAGGCGCCAGCTGCCGCCACCGCTGCCAGGGCCGCCGCCGTGGCGAGGCGGGGGGCCGCCGTCAGCCGCCGAGGGCTGCGCAACGCCGACGACATCGCCAGGCTCGGAGACGGGCTCCTTCAAGAAGCCAGTCGCTGAGGCGGCAGCCCCGCGCACCTCCGCGTCGTGCGTCACCTCGAGCTCGCCGCGCCCCTGGGACTGCGACGTCGGCGGGCTGAATCCACCTGTCCCAGGGGCGGGCTCCGCCGCGGCGGCGTGCAGGAAGTCGGTCTCGCCGTCGAGCTCCGCCGCCATGTAGGGGGTGAGGTCGACGAGCTCCAGCGAGCTGATGGGCCAGGAGTCCCGCAGGCCCGACTCCGTAGCCTGGACCTCGAACTCGGCGGCGTACCGCGCCGCGTCGCGGGCGCGGGCCAGGCAGCCCTGGAGCAGGAGGGCCTCCTCGTCGGCGATGGCGCGCAGCGCCGCGCCCGCCTTCGCGAGCAGGTCCGCGAGGCGGTTGCCGTAGAGCTCCACCTCCGAGAGTACGCCCTGCTCGACTGCCGCCCGAGAACGGCGGGCGGGGATGTGCTTCACGTGCACCCCCTCGGCGGCGTCGCCGACCCTCGCCCAGAGGTGGGCAAACTGGGCCGCCGGGGCCGCCGCCCTCTTCACGTCCTTGCAAGCCCCGACCGTGCCGATGCAGTCGATCATGAGGTGGTAGTGGCCGACGATGTCCGTGAGGGCGACCACCGCCGCGTAGTCCTCGCCTGCCCTCGCCGTCTGGCTGGGCAAAAGGGCAGGCGGCACTGCCCCCCACGCCTGCGCCAACCACTCGCCGTCGGGCGTGAGAACCACCACTGCCCAGCCCGCGCTCCTGACCATCGGGAAGTCGTTGTTGACGCAGGAGCCGTCCGTGAAGACAAGGGAGCCCGCGGGCACCACGAGCGCGCCCTCGTCCCAGCCACGCGAGCGGCGCTCCCAGCGAGGGTCCCAGCGCGGCCTCTGCACCAGGTACTGGGCGTCAACGAAGAGGCCCTGGCAGAAGAGCTCCTCGTAGCGGTGGCCCATTGTGCTCACCAGCTCGGCAGCTCGCTTCAAGTCGGCGGGCCTGCGATCTCGCCGCCAGCCCTCCCAGGCAGGGCATCTGTGGTGGCGGTGGGCCAGAGTCCCGCTCTCCTCGCCGCAGAGCAGGCAGCGGTCGTCGACGTCGGTGCCACGCTTGGCCAGCCTGGCCTGCGGCCATAGTGACAGAGACGCCAGCCTGCGCAGGCAGCCGCAGTGGTGGCTGGACCACGTCTCCGTGGGCGCGGCGCCGAGGAGCTGGTTGATGGCCCGCCAGTTTGGCGGCAGCTGCCACGGCCACAGGGTATCAGGCCTGGCGTCGTACTCCTGGAAGGCTGCCGCCTTCCTGGCCGCCTCCTTGGCCTTCTCCGCAAGGAAGGCGGGGGAGTACCGAAGGACGGAGTAGCAGCAGCCGAACTCGTCCTGCAGGGAGTCGCCGTCGTCGCTGAGGCCCCAGCCGATGACCTGCAGCGTGAGCACCAAGGCCGAGATCGGGTCCCTGACGGCAGCCCAAGGGCGCTGGAGCCTCACGATCCTGGCGCTCTCCGCTATGCAGGCCTGGATCGCCGCCGCGGAGGCCCGGCCTGCCCAGCGGACATTGGTGTACGCTGGGACGGCCAAGCCCGTGGCCACCACTAGCGGGCCCTGGCGCCAGCCTCGCGGCGAGCACTGCAGCAGGAAGCCCAGCGCAGCCCCAGGAGCCAGTTTGCCCGTCGCCTTGGCCGCTGCCAGCCTCAGGGCTCTCATGCGGCCAGGCGGGATGCCGTTGCAGGCCGAGCCCCATAGGGCTTTGGCTGAGGGCCCCGCGCGCAAGACCCTTGCCTGCCGAAGGCCAGGCCCGAAGATCTTGTGGAGCCTGCTGGCCTGCCGCAGCGCCGCGAGCTCTCTACCGACCTGAGTCGCGACTCGCCTGTGGCTGCCAGCCGTGGCGTCGACGCCGAGGCCACGGTGGCCCGAGACAAAGACCTCGACCGCGAGCCGCCAGTCGGGCTCCCGCTGCAGGCGGCGCTGGAGGCCCGCCGTGGAGGCCAGGACCTTCGTCTTCTTCCAGTTGATGGGCAGCCGCCTGTCCGCCAGCATCTCGACCACGCCGCTGACGAAGCTCGCGATCGTTCGGCTGAGCGTCGCTGCCGACCCGATGCCGTGGCCTGCTATGTCGTCGATGACGTTGACGACCCTGCCGACTGGCAGCAGCGCCCTGGCCTGGAGCAGGAGGCCGTGCAGCATGAGCCTGGCCAGCGTCGTCGCGCAGGAGCAGCCCGCGATGATGGTGCCGCTGACCTCAATGGGCTCGCTGATGGCGGCGTCCGCCGAGGCGCGGCGCGGCCCAGCGTAGAGTACGCAGAGGGCCCTGAGCAGACCGACGCTGAAGCCGTTGCCCTCCGCGGCCTGGCGCAGAAGGTCATGGTCGATCCGCTCGTAGAACTTGCTGATGTCGAAGTAGACGGAGGCTGCCTCGAAGCCAAGCTGGCGGGCGAGCGCGAGCCCCAGGTTGTGGAGGTAGGCCGCCCTGTCACAGCAGGTGTTCGCGTCCTTGCCCCAGACCTCGGGGAGCGGGTGGTCCGCCTCCCACTTGGCGCAGTAGCGGCGGCGCACCCTGCTCCAGATACGCGTCCACATGCTCATGATGCCGATCGGGCGGCGGCCTCCGTCGGGCTTCCCCAGGAAGACGATCACCGTGGTGAAGAAGGCTGTGGGCTGCGGCTGCTGCCATCCTCTCGGCGAAGGGCCTGCCCAGGGAGAGGACCAGCCGCGGGTGGAACGCATCCCAGCCCAGAGCGGTCTGCTTCGGGAACGAGTTCGCCGCCTCGAGGATGTCGTCCGCCGTGATAGGGGGCAGCTCCATGGAGCAGATCCAGTCGGCTGGTCTGGACCTGCACTCCCCGTCGGCACCTTTCCAAAGGGCCTTCCACTCAATGAGGATCTGGTCCAGGGCTTGCTGGCCAACAACTGGGAGCGGCAGGCTGTCGGGGCAGTGCGCGGTCACCGAGTCCAGCACCTGGTCACGGTCCTTTATGACTGCGTGGGCGCCCTTTGCCCCCTTCGCCAAGGCCTCGTCCACGAAGTCCTTCCAGCGCAGCCTGGCCGCCTTGGCGTCTTCTTTGCGGTGCCTCTCCGTCGTGCTCTCGATCATCTGCAGGAAGGCCTGCCCTTGCTCGGTGGGCTCCTGGATCACGTCTATCAGCGAGTCAAGCTTCGAGCCTTCGAACATGGTGCAACCCGCCTGCTCGAACCTGGGCCCCAAGCTCTTTGCCACCTGCACCAGGTGCTTGATGTAGCCGACGTGCCCCACAGGGGGTGAGCAGACCGCAGCAGCCGCCCTGAGCTGCCTGGCGATCCTCCCGAGGCAGAGCCAACACTTGGTGATGGGGCTGAGCTTTCTGACAGCCTCCGTGCGCTGCAGGTCCGCCAGTTTCTTTTTGACGGTGCGGGGACCTTTGGCCCTGCCCTGGTACCTCTCTCCCTCGTAGATGCCGAACTGGTCGATCAGGTGGAGCTCCGAATCCTTGGGCGCGAATTAATAGCGGGCGATACATGTGGGGTGAAGAAGAATGCCCTCCTCGGACCCTGAATACCCCTTCTTGGGCCCTAAAGGGTACCTTTAGGGACCCTCAAAGGCCCCTTTTCTGCCGCCCTCGCTGCCCCAATTTCTCGCCCCCCAATGCGCGTCGTCCGAAAAGAATCCAGGGCCTGGAAGCCGGTGGAACGCCAACTGAGGATGAGCCATGGATACTACCAGGGCCATTGTCAGATACATAATCATCCAGGGCATGAAGCCTCCTGGGCACATTCCTCAACTCAAAGGCGCATTCCTGAACGAACGCCCCAGCCGTATGTTAATAAAGGCAGGCACGCCTCTGCTGTTTTCGGCGTCCTGGTGTTAGGGAGGGAGCAACTCCTTCAGGCAATTAGAGCTTGACAAAATAACGGGGTTTCTGCACAGCGATGCCAATGCAACGGTCGACCTTCGTAATGCCAGGTTAGTGGCTCAGGAGGAAATTCGACAAAAGTTACTGGATGAGGGCGGAAGAGGAGGGAGGGAGAAGGGAGCGAGTGCAAGACAGAACATCTAGACGGAATATTGCGCGCAATTGACGAGCGGGAGCCACTCAGATACAAGGCAATCTGAAACCAAGTGGAGCGTGGCGTTGCAATACGTACGTAATGGCTACAACAAATGAAGCAAGCCAAACCACACGTCGTTGAGCTTGGCTCCGCCCTCGCCTTGCCCGCCCATGACGAAAATGTTGTCCTGCGGCGGGCACAACTTGTGAGGCTTGCTCTGTCCAGGGGATGTGGAAGGATCAGCTGGAAAAACACATCATCGGGCTCTCAACTCGAAAATCAAAAGACTACCTCAAGCCGCTGATCACGGCGACGCAGTCGTACACAACACATGCCACCCAAACGCGACGTCGCCTGATTCTTTGAGGGGCAACGATAAGGGGAACTGGCTCAGGGGGGAAACATCGACCTGGAATCGACGATACATCGCCGATGGATCGCCGACCGGCCGCCGATAGCGAATCGGCATATTCCTTGGCGTGTCGTGGCTATCAGACCCCTATCGGCGATGACTGGACGATCGGGGATCGATGTGTTCCCCCCCTGCGCCTAATTACCCTCCCCCTATCGTGCCAGCATGGGGAGGAAGGGGCCCTGAGGGAAACAGGTCCTGGACACCGGGGCCTTCCCCCGGGACGAGATCTTGATCCTGAGTCGCTTTCTGACGGTCCCGGGGCCCGAGGAGGGCCCCGAGAGCCCGAAAGCGGAGAAAACCTCGGGGCCCGTTTCCCTCAGGACCCGCTTCCCCCATGGCAACCTTTCGTTGCCCCTGCTGCCTGCTCGTCTCGGCCGGGCCAATCCGCTGGTGGGTGACCTGCCAGTACCCCCCGCACGCGCCGAGCGACGGACGCCTGTGCTTCCGCCTCCCCAGGCGGGCCAGCACCAGTCCAGCGGCGGAGGCTTCCGGCTCACCCAGCGAGCAGCCATCGAGCGACCTTCGCCCAGCTGAGACGAAGCCAGGACGAGGATAACATCGGATGGGGATACATCGATACCGTCTGGGATCTGGCGGCCCTGGAGGATGTCTCGGGCGCCGCGGCCTTCTCAGCACGTCCCAGGACGCTCTGAAAACGTCCCGGCACGCTCTGGAACGAATACATCCTCGTCCTAGCCTCGCCCGGCCAGCGCAGGAGCGGCCAACTGTAAATCGAGCAACAAAAATCTGATCTAGCATCAATCGGGCCGCACTAGCGCGGAGTCGGAATCGACTGGCAGGCGCCGCGCCAAGATGCACAAGTAGCACCGTGCACGCGTCGGGCCGCATCGGATCGCCGGACTGTCGAAATCGAGCTGGGTCGAGCTGGCCAGAAATCCCACCAGCCCTCTGGGCGTAGGTGGTTTAGGGCGTTTCCTCTTCCACACCTCCCTCTTCCCCTTCGGGGAGGGGTGTGCTCCTCCCCATTTACCCCCTCCCCTGGACCTGGACGGGGCGACTCACGGGTCGTGGACCTGAACCTGGGCCAAGATGGCTGCAAGAGGAACCCAGGGAGCCCGAGATGACCTCCAAGATTGCCCAAGATGCGTCAAGATGGTTCCCAAGATACTCCAATAGGCCCCAAGACCGTTCCAAGACGGCTGCGAGCGGCCACGGAGCCTCTCCAGGAGGCCGCCAACAAGCCAAAATTTTCAAAAACCATAGGAAATCAATGAATTGTGCCTTCTTGCCTTTTCGCTTCCGATGGCCTTCCGAAGCCTCCAATCAGACAGCTCCAAAAGGGCCCATGAGGGCCCCAAGAGAGGCCCCAGAGAGCCCCAAGACGGCCCCCAAAGCGCTCCAACAGGGGCCCAAGAGGTGATTTGGGGGGCTCCCGACGGGAGGCGAATTAAGAAATCCCAAATATTTGATATTTGTCCTCCAAGATGGCCCCAAGAGGCGCCCAGGAGACCCCAACAGGCCCCAAGATGGTTCCAAAAGGGCCCCAAGAGGCCCCGCGGGAGAACCCCAAAAGGACCCCAAGCGGCCCTAAGAGGCCCCCTCGTGGCGCCCAAGACGCCCAAGAGCCCCCCAGGATCGCCGAGACCCCCAAGACGTCCCAAGAGGCCTCCAAGAAACGCCCAAGAGATATTCCAAGAGGCTCCGAGAGGCACCCAAGAGACCCATTTTGTTTGCCCTCCTCCCCCTGCTCCTCCCTCCTCATACTTTTCCTCTTCCTCCTCCTCATCATGCTCATCATCCTCATCACCAGCATCATCCTCATCATCCTATCCATTTTCCTCCTCTCCACTCCCTCATCCATCCATCCAGCCTCCTCCTTTTCCTCCTCCCTCCTTCGCGCGGTTCGGCCGTCCACCTCATTGCTCCGGCACTTCCCTGATTACCTCAACTCGCCTGGACATCGCTTCTGAGATTCAAAAACGATGGCCAAACTGAAATCAAGCTAAACGTCTCCGAAGCAGAAAGTCTCGCGCGGGAGAGCCCCGAAAAGTTGATACAAACATAAAGAGATGTTTATATAGACGAACAGAAACCTTAATTTTGGACCAGATGCCTTTAGAGAAACGCTGCCGATCTAAACTTTCCGATCGGCAGGGTTGAGGGGGCGACGGAGACGGGTGCGGGGGCCCTCGGCTGGGCCAGCGGCGCTGCCGTGCGAGGGACAGCGCCGCCGTCGCTTCAAACTGCATGCCACGGCCGTGGCACGCGCGGCCCTGGGAATGCCGGCGCGGGCGCGGCCGCGTCGAGCGGGCCCAGGGCGTAGCCGCGCGCGCGGGCCCCCGTGCGGCAGCTGACAATGGTCTCGCCGACAGGGCGCCTACACTTACGCTCATACACTGTAAATGCACAACGTTGACATGTAAAATCCATAGTTGTGGGGGCTGGGGTTGGTTTCCCACTGTTCATGGATGGGGTGGTGGGGAGACGCGAAGCGTTTAGAATTTATATAGAATCGGACCTGTCGGATCGAAATGGCCCGCTGCCATCCCTCCATCCTTCTGAACGCTTCCGCTCCCAAATGTCCCCCCGCGACCTCCCAGGCGCTCCGAGATCTACCCGAGAACCTCCGAGGGCATATCGAGAACCTCCGAGGGCATGAAGAACTTCGGACCCCTCGCCGTCGTCGCCATTCTCCGCGCCGCCCCTGAGCAACCATAAGTGAAGCCTACCCCTGCCAGTCAGATTTCTGAAATGCTGGCTGGGATTCAAAATTCGAATGATGTCTGCAACCCAGCAGAAGGTGGCCGCGGAAGGGAGCCGCCGGGAGCCCCCCGGAACCCGTTTCCCAATTGGTTTCCCCCCCCGTCCTTGCTTCCCTTCCCCCCCAAGAAGGCGGCTGCGGAAGGGAACCGCCCGTTTCAGAAGTACACAGCCGCTGGGCGAGGACCCTCGCGTGCGCCGAAGAGGGGGGGCCAGCAAGAGGGGGTGAGCGCCACGAGGCCAGAGGCATGTGCGCGGACGAGGGGGGCCAAGGAACGTCCTGTGAGAGACACAGAGGGGGGGGGGGCCGTGGCATCGAAGCTTCCATTGGCCTGGCCACCATCTCCGCCACACACACCCGTACCCACAGGTCGGAAGAAGTGGCCGGGTAAAGATAGGAGGTAGGACGACGTTGGAAGTAGATTGGATCTCCGCTGGCCCCCCTGAAGGCGAAGGAAGAGGGACGGCCACGCGGTCCTTGAGGTAGGATGGCGCCCAACGTAGATTGGGATATGGGGATCCTGGTCGGGGCCGTCTTCGTGGCAAGGCTCGATGTGGCTAGCAGAGCCCCTCCGCTCTGGAATTGGCGCTCCGGGGGGGGAAGCACGATGGCCGCATTGCAGGCTGACCTTTCCAAAAACACATGCTTTCAACGACCGACGGGATGTTCTCGCCCCCCCCCTTCTGGACGAGAGGCCTCCCTGAGGGGGTCCGAGCAGACGTGGTCGGAGGATCGCACCGCATCGGCGATGCACCGGCGACGTCGGTGATGCATCGGCGACGTTGCCGTGGAGGGCACCGGGCTCCACAGCAAGCCGCATCGCCGATGCATCGGCGATGCGGCGCGACCCTCCGACCCCATCGGCGGCCTGGCGCGCGCCGCGGCCCGAAGAACAGGTGGCTCCTGGAAGAGCACGGCCTGGTGCCCGCAGCGCGCGGGCCATGCCGGCCTCTCCAGCTCCTCGGCGCTGGGTATGGCGGGGGGGCGGGGGGGGGCGGGGGCCGGGCTGGCGAAGTGTGCTGCGGTGGGGGGGGGGGCGCTGAAGCAGGGCCCGCCCGCCTGCCCTGGCCTCCCGCTGGCGCGTGCGCCGTCGTCTGCTTGCTTCTCGTTCCGGCGGTCTCCGTCTCCGTCGCCGCGCAGCGCAGACTGCCGGGAGCCAGCGGCCGAACGCCACCGCCATACCCCACGTGTGTCCCGATGCAGAGATGACATCAAGTTAGCGTCTTCTCGTGAAGCGCCGATTCCTCCTCCTTCTCCTTTTCCCCACTCCTCCTTTTCCTCCTCCCTCCCTCCTCCTCCTCCTCCTCCTCCTCCTCCTCCTCCTCCTTCTCCTGTTCCTCATCCTCCTCCTCGGGTTCACGGGCTCAAGATGTGGCATCAAGCCCACTCTACGAGCAGAACGAGCCAAGCAGAAAAACGCCCGAAGGGTTAAGGTAGCGCACATGACATGGAGAAGAAGGAAAGCAGAGTGGAGGGCGGACAAGAGCGAAAGGGAAACATATGCACTACATAATCCCAAGCCCCAGGCTTCCAGGCGGACAGATCCTGCCTAGGGAGGTGCGGGACGGGGGGAGAATCCGCAACGCGTATTGCTGTGCTGCGCACTCCTGGACTAACCAGGAAAAGTGACAACAGCCAAAAAACGGCAACTGTTACAAAGCTTGTCTTTCTTGGTTCCCCCTACGAAGAACCTGACACAAAGACCAGCAAAGGAAGTTGGTTGGCGAAGCTGATCCCCGCCCAAACAATCGGCGTTCCTCCCATCCCCTTCCCTTCCCACCCCCTCCGAGCAGAGCCCAGGCGATGGCCAGAAATCCACTTGTGGACTTCTCGGAGGGTCAGGCCCGCGTCTTACCTGCTCCTGCTGCTGGCAGTGGGAGGAGGGATTGGGCTGGCCTCGGGAGCGTGGGAGCTCAAAGGACGTGCGCGGTGCGCTGCGGCACGAAACCTCTCGCAGACTGAATCATCACGGATCCACACTCGCCCCCGCCCTAACAACCCCACATCAGCGCTGCAAGCTATGGGAGGTGAGAGGATGAAGAGCAGGAGCAAGAGCAAGAGCAGGAGCAGGAGGAGGAGGAGGAGGAGGAGGAGGAGAGGCGATGGGATGGAGGGGCTGAGCTACCGTGGCCCCGTGGGAATGGGGATAGGCCAAACGATACTGAAGCCAGCAGGGACGCGCATCCGCTCGCCTCCTCCGCTCGCCCTCTCCGCCTGCCCCCCGTGCGACCAACATACGCTGCGCCTCATCTGCCACCGCGTCGTATACGCACATTTGGGGGCAAGGAACCCTTGGATCGACACCGACGATAACAACGACTCCGACTTCGACTTCGACCTCGACCTCGACTTCGACGACGACGACGACGGCAACGACGACGACGACGACGACGACGACGACGACGACGACGACGACGACGACGACGACGACGACGGCGGCGGCGGCGGCGGCGGCGGCGGCGGCGGCGGATGCGACGGCAGCGGCGGCGGCGGCGGCAGCGACGATGACGACGACGGCGACGGTGCCCCCTCCCGCCGAGCGCCCCGGCGCCCCGCGGCCCGCGAGGGTCCTTCCAGCCGAGACCGTGGTCATCGGACACCCAGGCGTCCTGCCGCGAGCGCCGCGGGCGCGGCGCCGCGCCCGGACACCGTTCCCCAGGCAGCCGGGGCGAGGCCCAGGCACCGCGCGCGGCTCGGCTGGGGGGCCCCGGCTGTGCATCTCGGGCGTGGCCGTGCAAGGCTCAGCCCAGGCAGCTCGATCCACGTCGCGGATGATCTGTTCATGACGTGGACCCCCAGCGGTCTGGACCCCTTCCCTGGGACCAGCTTTTCATGCTGCGTACTTTTTGACGGCCCCGGGGCCCAGTAAGAGCCCCTGGGGACTGAACATAGTGAAACACCTCCCGTCGTCATTCTTCCACGACGCGAGGGGGTCTGAGCACCGGCCAGCCATCATCTAATCACTGCCACCCCTGAGAAATTTAGGCACGGAGTGATCAGTTCGTCGACGACTTCCTTCAACCGAGGGGAGTCTTTGGCTTTGCGCCCTCACACCCCCCTGTTTCGCTCGGTGGGGAATGAACTCCTCCCCTCCTCCTTCCCCCTCCTGCTCCTCCTGCCCTCTCCGCCTCCTCCTCCTGAGCTAGGATGTTCCGTCCGAGATAGCGCTCATGAGGCATAAGTAGTAATAAGAACAGTCGTAGTCGTAGTCGAGATAGTACTAGTAGTAGTAGTAGTAGTAGTAGTAGTAGTAGTAGTAGTAGTAGTAGTAGTAGTAGTAGTAGTAGTAGTAGTAGTAGTAGTAGTAGTAGTAGTAGTAGTAGTAGTAGTAGTAGTAGTAGTAGTAGTAGTAGTAGTAGTAGTAGTAGTAGTAGTAGTAGTAGTAGTAGTAGTAGTAGTAGTAGTAGTAGTAGTAGTAGTAGTAGTAGTAGTAGTAGTAGTAGTAGTAGTAGTAGTAGTAGTAGTAGTAGTAGTAGTAGTAGTAGTAGTAGTAGTAGTAGTAGTAGTAGTAGTAGTAGTAGTAGTAGTAGTAGTAGTAGTAGTAGTGTAGTACTAGTAGTAGTAGTAGTAGTAGTAGTAGTAGTAGTAGTAGTAGTAGTAGTAGTAGTAGTAGTAGTAGTAGTAGCAGCAGTCGTAGTAGTAGTAGCAGTAGTAGTAGAAGTAGAAGTAGAAGTAGAAGTAGTAGTAGAAGTAGTAGTAATAGTAGTAGTAGTAGTAGTAGTAGTAGTAGTAGTAGTAGGAGTAGTAGCAGCAGCAGCATTAGTAATAGTAGTAGTCGTAGGAGTAGTAGTAATATATATATATATATATAGTAGTCGTAGTTGTAGTAGTAGTCGTTGTCGTAGTAGTAGTAGTAGTAGTTGTAGTAGTAGTAGTAGTAGTAGTAGTAGTAGGTAGTAGTAGTAGTAGTAGTCGTAGTAGTAGTAGTAGCAGTAGTAGTAGTAGTAGTCGTAGTAGTAGTAGGAGTAGTAGTCGTAGTTGTAGTAGTAGTAGTAGTAGTAGGAGTAGTAGTAGTAGTTATAGTAGTAGTAGTAGTAGTAGTAGTAGTAGTAGTAGTAGTAGTAGTAGTAGTTGTAGTAGTCGTAGTAGTAATAGTAGTAGTAGTGGTAGTAGTAGTAGTAGTAGTAGTAGTAATAGCAGTCGTAGTAGTAGCATTAGTAGTAGCAGTAGTAGTCGTAGTCGTAAACGAAAGAGCAATAATAATAGTAATCGTAGTAGTGGAAATGGTCGTAGACGTGGTAGTAGTAGTAGTAGTAGTAGTAGTAGTAGTAGTAGTAGTAATAGTACTAGTATTAGTAATAGTAACAGTGATAGTAGTAGTAGTAGTAGTTGTAGTAGTAGTAGTAGTGGTAGTAGTAACCGTAGTAGTAGTAATAGTAGCAGTAGTAGTAAGAGTAACAACATTAATCATATTATTAGTAGTAGTAGTAGTAGTAGTAGTAGTAGTAGTAGTACTAGTGGTAGCTGTTGTCGTAGTAGTAGCAGTAGTAGTAGTAGTAGTAGTGGTACTATCAATAATAATACTTAGTAGCACTCGTCGTCGGAGTAGTAGTACTAGTAGTAGTAGTAGTAGTAGTAGTAGTAGTAGTAGTAGTAGTAGTAGTAGTAGAAGTAGAAGTAGAAGTAGAAATAGTAGAAGTAGCGTTGTAGTAGCAATAGTAGTAGTAGTAGTAGTAGTAGTAGTAGTAGTAATCGTCGTCGTCGTAGTAGTAGTCGTAGTAGTAGTAGTAGTAGTAGTAGTAGTATAGTAGTAGTAGTAGTAGTAGTAGTAGTAGTAGTAGTAGTAGTAGTAGTAGTAGTAGTAGTAGTAGTAGTAGTAGTAGTAGTAGTAGTAGTAGCAGTAGTAGTAGTAGTAGTAGTAGTAGCCGTAGCAGTAGTAGTCGTGCTAGTACTATCGTGGCCGTAGTCGTAATCGCAGCAGTAGTCGTTATCTGGCCGTATTGCGCTGCTGTGCGCCACCTCCATCATTGCCCTCCCCCTCCATCTCCTCCCCCCCGAAAGGGTGAGACTTAAGACTATGAGCTTGTTGTTACAACACCATTGGGCAGAAGAAACGAAATCTACCTCCTCGCCCTTCTGCGTCCTCTTCTGCATTCGTCTCCTTCTTCCCCTCCTCCTCCTCTCCTCCTCTTCGGGGGACGAACAAGTACTGATACCGCTAACCCCCCGAGACCTCCAGGGGTGCGGCCTGACCAGAACTTCGGGCACGTCCTAACGAGGCGACGAGGGAATGGTATCGGTATCGGTCTCGGTTCCTCTTCTGACCTCCTTGCCCTCACCGCATCCTGCCCCCCCCTCCTCCGCTCTCTTCCCCGCTCGGCTTAGGTCGGGCATGTACTCCTACAGGCGGATTTTGGACGAAAAACTAAAAATATTCAAACAAATACCCCCAAGGAGTCCAAAGGACTATTTTTCTACTATTTTCGAATGTTCCCCCTGTAGAGGCACACACGCCCGACTTAACGCTCGGCACACCCGGCGGCCACCGCCACGACGGGCCGGCCCTCGGAATACCACCCGTCTCCAGCTCTGCCTCCACTCCCGGGCGGCGCGCCGAGATGGCGAGGGGTCAGCGCCGAGATGGCGAGGGGGCAGGCGGGCTGGGGGCCGCTTCCTGCACAGCTTGCCTGTTCGGGCTCCCTTCGCCAGTCCCACGGGCCAGAAGCGTGCTACGATTCCCGGTTGGAGGGGCAGAGCACGGTGAGGGCATTGAATGAGGAACCATTGGATGAGGAAGCCAGGGTCTGGAAGCTGGTGGAACTCCAATCGTGGATTGGCTACGGACATCACCGCCGCCATCGTCAGATAAGGAGTCCTCAAGGGTCAGACGCCTCTTGGGCACATTCCTTAACCAACGCCCCCACCGTATGTGTGGACTGCTTGTTCGCGCGCGCGGCCCCTGGGGGTCCCCCGACGAAAAAGATTCCTGACCCCCCCCGGCAAAGTCCCCAGTCAGAGATTCCTGAACCGACGGGCGCGGGCTTCAGGACCTCCAATACGCTTCCAGGAGCGCTCCAACGGAGCTCCACGGCGGCCCAAGAGGTCTCAAAGCGGGACATTAACGCATCAACAAATCCAAGAGGGCCTCCTGATGGCCGCATAGGCCCTCCAGGAGCCTCAGAGAGAAGAGCAAGATTCACTGGTTTCCCTTATGTACGTGTTCTACGTCTTCCATGTTCTTCCAGGTTCGGGGTCCTAACAGTTCTTCACACACCCCAGGGGCGCCCAATATTTTCCGGGACGCGCTGGCGCTCTATGGCGCGCGCGCCCCTCAGATTGCTAACCTGGGGCGCGCGCGCGCCTCTGGGACGCGCGCGTGCTCTGTGTCGCCTGCGCGTTCTCGGTTTGCTGATCTGGGACGCGCACTCCACCTCAGATTGCTAATCTGGTTTGCTGATCTGGTACAAGCGCTCCACTCCACTGCCCGTTCAAGGGCCACAGGATGGCCCAAGAGGGCCCCAAGACGGTCCCAATACACCCTCAAGACGACTGGAATCAGCACGTCCCTGCCCAAAGCCGAGTCCTCCGACAGCAGCCTCTGGGCATCTCCAGAGTTCTCTGAAGACTCTCGGGGAGGAGAGATGGAAACAGATCGAGAGAGGAGCGAATGGGGGAGGAAACAGGGTGGAATGAGGGACCAGGGATGAGGGATGATGACAGAGACAGGGAAAGATAGAGTGAGGAGAAAAGGGAGTGAAGCGTAGAGGAGAAGAGGAGGTGGACGAAGACGAAGAGGATGAGGGATCAGGAGAGAAGGGGGGAGAGGAGGAGTATCAGGAGGCGGGATGAGCAGGGAGGACCATGAAAGAGAAGGAGTAGGCGGGAGGCGAACGAGGGAGCAGGGGTGCTAAGCTGTGAGGAGGACGAGAAGCGATTAGCGGGGGAGCAGGGCTGCTCCTGCAGTGGCTTGTGGCCAGTGTCCAGGCCACCGACGATAACGATCTGGTTCGCGGTGCGGGTGCTCACCTTCAGCGGTGCCACCTGTGGGCCCCGATCAGGGCACGGGGAAGGAGGGTGAAAGAAGGAGAATGCAGGAGGGACGTGTAACAAGACGGAGCCAAGGCGAGTCTGCAGAAAGTATCGGGCGTCGCGGCCGTTCCAGAACGCTCGGGAACGCTCTCAGATCGCTCCGGAGCGCTCTGCAGCGACTCGTCGTGGTCCTGGCCAAGCCCAGGGTGAGGGAAGGCCAAAGACCAGGCCCAACAAGTCAGCAGGCCCCTGGCGCACTTTCGCCTCGTGCGGGCCACAGGACCAATAGGCAGCGCGGCCAGGGGGCAAGCGAGAAGAGGCGGGCCTTCGCAGAAGGCTCAGAAGCTCCCCGGCCTTCTGAGAAGTTTTCTAAGCCTTCCCCGAAGATGCAAAACTCGTCCCAGAAAGCAGAGGGGGCTTCTGAGGCGGGGGGCTTCTGAGAAGCCCGGCCGCCTTCTGAGAAGGCCTCCTCCCTCTCACACCCTCCCTCGCTCGCCGCCGAACCAACAACAGCCGCATGGCATCTGCACATCGCGCGTGGATCGGTGAACTAACGGCTCAGGCTGCAACTCAGGCTCGGGCGGGCGCGCCCGCCTAGCGCGCACGGGCCCCTGGCTCCCAGAATTGGCGCCCCGCCCACACGCACCCTCCCTCCCATCACATGAAGATCAATGGTGGCACCGCTTGGTGTCGGCACCGGAACCTGCTCCCGCACTGCGAAGGGATGCCGCGGGGAATAATGTCTGTTGTTTTTTCCGTCGCGCCTTTGCCAGCGCACGGCGTGCAGCGGCAAGAGTGCCCGCCGAGCCAGACCAGGACCGCTCGCGCAGAGCAGATGCCTGTGCGGGCCTCGTTGAAGCGGGCACCCCTGGACATCGCCAGCATATATCAAGAGTAATGAGGTCGTCGTCCATCGGCGGCTTCACGGAACAGCGCGCCCGCCAGGGATGAGCGAGGAGGAAGGAGGAGGAGACGGAGGAAGGGAGAGGAGGGAGAAGAGACCCAGGAGGGAGGGGGATGGGAGGCGGGAAGCGGCCTGTCCTTCCACTCTCATGCCATTCCCCGTCACCTCACCTCGAATGTTTGATCTGCGCCATCGTTCGGTCCCCCTTCTACTCGCCTTGTCCACTGCGTTCCTTCTTCGAAAGCACGAGGGGACGTTGCAACACTCGAGCCTCCATTGCGAGCCTGCCCTGCACCCTCCCCCGTCCCTTGCCTCCTCCGCGTCCTCGTTCTCTGGCTCATATCATTAGCCTTGCCTCAAAAGGGGGGGGGGGTGCTGCGTGCTGTCACTACAATGGCCACCAACATCTGGAAGTTGCACCGCGCCTTCCACTTGGCATCAGGCAACTGATGCCAGCTCATCCCAGCGTCCCGCGACTCCCTCGTGGCGGGGAAGGGGACGAGGGGGCAGAAGTGGATGAAACGAAACGTCACAAGGTGGTCGAAACACTGATTTGGTCTGATCAACCATTGCTTGGCATACCATGGCATGAGATGGAATCACATTTGCAAGGGTTCAGGGCCCCGACGCTTCATGCCGCATGCATGCACTCGTGCTGGGGTCTGGGCACCCCTCCTTTTCTGCGGAAAATGCTCGACAACGTGGGCACGAACCACTGAAGCATTCCGCCGTCGAGGTGCTACTTGTGTGGTGGTACTTTGCGGTGCAATCGCTGCATGGTCCAACATTTGATTTGCAACCTGCATGGTGCAATGCATGCGGGGCAGTATGTGTGGTGTCATGTCCCTGGCGCGTTCTGTGTGGGTTTGTTCTTGAATGTGTGACGCGATGTGCAAGGTATGTGATACAACCGGTGTGGCGCACTCGATATGGCACAGCCCATTAAGTTCTATGGATTCGCCAGTTCTAATTCCCGCGCAAACAATTCACTCACCCAGTGACGTCCGCCACCGGCAAGAATCACAACGCCGTCAGTGCAATTCCCTATCGGGCATCCGTAGCGAATGACAACGGGCGCACTTGCGAACGGACATTTCTTCTGCAGATCCACGAATCAGGCAGGCAAGCGGTGATGATGACGTTGTGGGAGTATGGCGTGGTGGTCTGTGGAAACAAATGCTGTTTGCTCCGTTGTTCTACGACGAACCCTCAGACCGCACGCGCACGAGTAGCAAGTGCGGAACGCAACACGGCACGCTGAACATGGTGTGCCAAACGCTATGGCCTGACATGATCGCTTCGACCGCCGTAGGCCGTAAATTTCTCTGGAACTGCTTCGCACAGGGGCAGTCGAAGAAATGCGGCGGAAAACGATTAGAACACACACACACACTCCATACCACACATCGGTCGTTGTATCATGGGACGCATACCTGGCTCGACTTTATCACGGAGCGCCTCGTTGTGCACGCGCGCAGAATTGCAATAAATCTGGCAGGCTCCTTGTTGAAACGCGGTTGGTTTGTGTTTATATGGTGTTGGTGGGCTCGATGTGGAAATGTTTCAAAGACCAATGGATTTGGACGAATTTCGAAACGCGCGCGAGGCGGCGCGCGCGTTTGGTCCATATGGTACTATGTGAACCGGATTCGTGCGCTGGAGGAAGCTAGATCAACGCGGATGCACCGCGTGGTGAGATGAGAAGGCTGTCTCTGGACGAGAGTTCTCAAATCACATGTCAGTCCCATGATTTCAACAAATGCGCGCAGGCAGAAATTCCGTAATACATCCTCTGGCCGGAAGTTTTGTCCTCTTGCATGGGGACGCATGGATCCACCGCCCCTGTGCTGAAAGGCATAAGGGGTGCAAAACTCTTTGTTCCTCTTGCATGGGAACGCTTGGATCCATTTGGATCCAATTACGTGTGTGCGAGAGTCACGTGGATCCAATTGCCGTGTCTTCTGGATCCATTTTTTGGCGTGGAAGCTTCGTGGATCCAATTCTTTCGCTGGAATAAATTTATGATAATAATGCATACAAGGGACCCAAGGGGAAATGGATCCACGGAGCCTTGGACCTGCAGCCCAAGCTATGATTCTACGGGGGAGGGGTTTCCCTACCGAGAGACACAACACACGGGGACGAGTAGGGAAACACAAACCAGGGGCGGACGAAGGGGAAGATAAGGGAGGAAGGACGGAGAGGAGGGAGAGGAGGACGACGAGGATGAAGAGGAGAGACGAGATAGAGGAGGAGGGCAAACGAAGAGTCCGGAGGAGGGGAGGAGGAGAGCGGAGGAAGGAGGAAGAGGAGGGAGGAGGGAAGTGGAAGGGAGGCGAGAGAGGAGGAGGGCGGAGGGAAGAGGAGGACCAGTGAGGGTGAGGGAGGCATAAGGAGGGCGGGATGAGGAAGAGGTAGGATGGACGAGGAGGAGGAGGAGGAGGAAGGAGGAGGGAGGAGGACGAGGAGGGAGGAGGACGAGGAGGGAGGACGGAAGAGGCGGATGAGTGAGGAGGGAGGAGGAGGTAAAACGACCGCGGTGCCCAAGTCGGGAGCTCGAGCGCCACAGCGGGCCTGGCCACCTCTCCGAACCCCTCCCATAACATGTCGTTGCTCGAGTGCCACAGCTGCCCTGGCCAACTCCCGCAGCCTCCATAACATGTGGGTGCTCGAGCACCACAGCGGGCCTGGCCAACTCCCGCAGCCTCCCAGAACATATGCCGCACCCCGCCTCGACGCGAGCGAGATATGATCGCTGCGTCCGCATCGGCTAAAGTCAACGACACTTCGCATTTGTCATCTAGGCCTCAAGAGGAAAATCTTTCGGCCTGTTCGAGTATGCTCGGTGACACTTCGCATGTTTAGAGTGCGTTCGTTTTGTGCGAGGGCTTCTTGCAGCATGATCTTTTGAGAAACACATTTGTGCGAGCATCATGTGATTTGATATGTGTGAGGGAGGCGATGCCCGGTCACCTTGGATTGTATGAGGCAAGTGGTAGCTTGCATGATCGATCGTGTAGTATAAATGAACCTGCTAACGATCCAGGGTGGGTGGTTAAGTCTGGGGGGAAGAGGGTGGTATAATCACTGTTTTGAAAAGAAGACCTATGTGCTCCAACAGTGGGATGCACCCCAGAACGCAGGCCAGCGCACGAGCGCAGGCACGGGAGCAGGCACGGGGGGACACTGGGCAGAAGTCTACAGGCGGCAACCCGCGCAAAAATCCAAGGCACGAGGCGGAACCGGGCGAGCGCCAGGCAAAAAACCGGAGGAGCCAGCCAGCGCACGGATCGGGCACGAGGAGGGCATGGGCGGGCACCAGGCGAAAACCCAGAAGCGCCAGCCAGCACACGGAGCGGGCACGAGGTGGGCACGGGTGGGCAACGGCAGAAAGTCAGCTTGAACTAGCCGGCGCACGGGGCGAATACGAGACGGTAGCCAGGCGGAAACCTGGAAGATCATGTCAGTTAGATAGGAACGGGCACATTCGCCGAGACACTGCTTGGGGAAAGGCATGGAAGCATCGGGTAGGATCATGGACGTAGTTGGGGGCCCACGCGCAGAACAAACACATCTGCCGTTGACTAAGCCACCTAACTTCGCGCATCTCGCCCCGCGATGTGCGACGCACGATTACATGCGCGCCCTCGCGCAACTCAACTGCATAAAGCCTGCCCATCAACCCGCGACTCGCGAAGCGCGGGTATCCTTCGCGCCCCTGGGGGTGACCTGGACCGAATAGCGAGGGGACGCCCGCTGAGAGAGGGATGTCTCCCCAGAGATCCGATGTGCCGATTTTTCCTATACGGGGTCCCCGGAAATTCGTCCCTGTCCCCAGTGCCCGCTTTCATCCTGAATAGGTTTTGACGCCCCCAGGGCCGCGCCGAGGTCCTCCAGAGGCGGAAACCCGTGGAAACTCTCCGTTGGGGGGGAAGACCGGGTTTGGGGGGAGGGGGAGGGGCATGGGATACGAGAGGGCAGGGAAGGAGGGGGCAGGAGGGAGGGAGGTGGCAAGTAGGGATGGCCCCCCCTGCTCTTCATTAACATCGACTGCTGTAGCAAGCCTGTCGCCCACGGAAAACGGTAATGAGCGTACAAACTGAACAATACTACAAAGACTGCAAACAAGTACATCAATTAGGCCTTCATCTCCTCCTCCTCCTTCTCCTCCTCCTCCTCCTCCTCCGACTCTGACGTCGTCCAGCAGTGATCAGATGCCCCTGGACTGTCCACCAGGGCCCGATCAACCTTGCTTGACCCGACTTGCGTCCCGCAGCTCAACCCGTCTCTGGGCACCTGAAGATGGGGCAGTTGAGAAAGCAACATTGGCGACAGCGGCCGTGGTGGCATGGGCAAGCTCTGGAACATGTGCAAGACATGGATAGATAATCAAGAACGGGCACCATACGTCTCTAAGCATCCGCTGGTTCTCGTCCGTGCCTGGGGCAAGGAGAGTGGAAGGAGCACATGGGGGAGGAAGAGGAGGAGGAGGAGGAGGAGGAGGAGGAGGAGGAGGAGGAGTGACAACGAGGAGGAGGTCGAATCGATGGCACTGTGATGGATCCTAACCTGGCCAAGACCAACTGCGGTGTTGCTTTCGGAGGACAACCACGAGCAGTGGTTGAACACGGCACTGTACGCTTCGCCGAGGCTAGATGACTGCGACACGCCGATGAGACAGGAAGGTAGCAGATCAGACCCTCTAATCAAGTCATCGGTCCTACCGACCACGATCACAGGGGAGAACGACTAGAGCAAGGCACGGCAGGAACAAGGGGAGACAGGCAAGCAGAGGAGTGGAAGAGGAGAGAGGAGAAGCGGACGAAGGGGGAGGGAATCGCAAGAGGATGATGAGGAGGAGCAGTCGAAGGAGCAGCGACATGTCTTCTAACCAATGCGAGGACCCACCGCCTAGCCATGTAAGGGTGTAGGGTAGACGCAGATGGTGACCCCCCCCGCCCGAGAGTGACGAACCAATGCCTCTTGATCAAGCAAGGCATGCTTGTTTGAACAACCATGCGCTATACGCCTGCAGCGCCTCTACCGTGCCACATGAGAACGCCTCCTCATCCGCCTCCTCCTCCCAGCCGTGATCCCCAGACAGTGTTCCCAGGCCGTGCGCCGCCCTCGCGGACTAGGGGAGGACGAGGATGAAGGAGGCAAGAGCAAGAGGGCAGCGAAGGATGCAGGAGCGCCAGGATTCAAGAGGGGGGGTCATTGCCGTGTGGGCCACGCCTGATCGCCGAGGTGAGGAGGACGAGGAGCAAAACGAGGACGACGGCGCTGATTTTTAGTTACGTATTTCGGGCACCGTGCTCAGGCAGATCGGGCAGACGCGAGCATGAGGAGGCTACCACAGACGCGGACGCGGACGCTGACGCCGACGCCAACGTCGATGCCGACGCCGACGCCGACGACGACGACGGCGACGACGGCGGCGACGACAAGGACGACGACGACGACGCCGACGCCGATGCTGATGCTGACGCCGACGCCGCCGCCGCTGACGACAACGACGACGACGATGACGACGAATACGACGGCGACGACGACGACGGCGACGACGACGACGACGACGACGACGACGACGACTGCGACGGCGACGACGACGACGACGACAACGGCGACGACGACGACGACGACGACGACGACGACGACGACGACGACGACGGCGGCGGCGGCGGCGGCGCGCTGCCCCCGCACAGCAGGATCGTCTCGCCGCCGGCGCCGTTGAAGACAACGGCCTGGTGGCCGTGCCGGGCGGACCTCGGCCCGCCGGGCGGAGCGCTCCCGCAGGCCGGGGGCGCGGCCTGGCGGCCGCCAACGGCCGCGCGCCGAAGGCCGCCGAAGGCCGCCGACGGCCTCGCCGACGGCCGACGGTAGCCGCCCACGGCTGCCGAAGGCCGCCGACGGCCGCCGACGGCCGCCGAATGCCCCGCCGAGGGCCCCGCCAAAGGCTGCCGACGGACGCGCCGAAGGCCGAAGGCCGCTGACGGCCCCGCTGACGGCTGACGTCGGCCGCTCACGGCTGCCGAAGGCCGCCGATGACCGCCGAAGGCTCCGCCGAGGGCCCCGCCGAGGGCCCCGCCAAAGGCCCCGCCGAAGGCTCCGCCGAAGGCCCCGCCGAGGGCCCCGCCGAGAGCCCCGCCGAAGGCCGCCGACGGCCCCGCCGAGGGCCCCGCCGAGGGCCGCCGAAGGCTCCGCCGAGGGCTCCGCCGAAGGCCCCGCCGCAGCTGCGGGTGCGGGGGGCCGCCAGAGGAGGCCGCGGCGGTCGGCCAGGCGGGAAGCGCGGTGCGCGGCGGCCGCCACCGTGCCAGACGCTGGCTGGGGAAGGGAGGGGGGGGCGCTCTGGCCTCGGCGAGCCGCGGCCGCCACGCGCACGAGTAGCATGAAAAGGACCCCTGGTTCTCTGGAAGGGGACCCAAGTTAGGGGTATAGAGGGTCTTGTCTGCGGGTGTACCAAGCCAAACCATTCAGAATTATTGCCCCTGGTGCAACGACGGGGACCTACGTGAGGCCACGCTTTCACGCTGTAATTCGGGTTAGGGATAGGTCGGGCATGTCCTCCTACTGGCGGATTTTGGAAGACACATTCGAAATAGGTAACGAATAATCAAACATAGTCCAAAGAGCTTGGGAATCCTCCTCCTGTATATGGGGTATGTCCGACTTAAGCTTCGGGGCTCTTGTGCCCTCGATGAGCACAGGCTCCCCGACCCAGATCCAGAGAGCGGCCCCGAGAAGCGGAGCCCCTCCCGAGAACGCAGGCGTCCTCGCTTCCGGGGCCCTGGCCGCATATCTCCGCCGGCCCTCGCGCCGCCCCCAGGGATGGGGAGAGAGCGAGGCGCTCTGGCCCCCGCCGCGGAGCGCGGCTGCCTGCGCGCCCCTGCGGGCACTTCTTTTGGGGTGCGGAGGGCGGAAAGGGGTGGCGGAGGAGGTCGGGAACAAGGGGAAGCAACACCAGCACCAGGGACCACCAGCGAGAGAAGCCAGGAGGAGGTCCCCCTGGTGGTGTGCCGCTCCCCCCCGCCCCTCGCTGGAGACATCCATGCATCCCCAGCTCGGGGAGGCATCTTGGACCTCCTCGCTGGAGGTGGACCCCCTGGTGGCGGTGGTGTCGCTTCTCCTTCCCCCGGGTGGAAGGGGAGGAGGAAGCCTCCGCTCACGTCGCGGGTGCCGCCGCGGACCCGCCGCCGAGCGGTCGAACTCGGGGACGCGCTCGGCTCGGCGGGGGCAGGCCCTGCGGCGGCACAGCCCACGCCGAGGACGCCCCGGCTCACCCCCCTGGCTGGGCAGCTGCCGCCGCCGAGCGGGCGGGCCCCGCGGCGGGGTCGCCCCCACCGAGGGCGCCTGGGCGTCAATCGGAGTCGCTTCTGCCACTGCCCAGCGGGTCGTCGGTGAGCTCCTCGGAGCTGGTCTCGGACGGGCTCGGTGAGGCGCCGGCGTCGGGGGCCTGCTGCAGGGACGGCAACGCCGAGGGCGCATCCAGGAAGAAGCTGGCCACTCGCAGCCAGATCAGGTGCGGCAAGGCGCCCGCGCGATGGCCGACCAGCAGCCAGAAGAGCGCCCGACTCCGCACCTCGCGAGGGAACAAATGGTGCGTCTGCGGAGACCAGGCCACCCTCCGCAACTCGTGGGCGTCGTTGAAGTCCTCGCCCCGCCGGTCGACCCGCGTCCCGCCCCCGTACACCAGCAGCCCGTCGCCGCTCGGCAAGGGCACGGCACAGTGAAACGCGCGGTGCGGCGGCGCCTCACCAGCCAGGGCCAGGCAGCTCCAGAGGCCATCGGGCACGTCCAGGACGTGCAGGTGGCCCTCACGCACGCACTGGGAGGACGCCTCCTGATCGAAGCGGCGCAGCCCCCCGAAGACCACCATGGAGTCCTCGCCGACCAGCGTGGCCGTGTGGCACGCCCTCGCAGTGGGCCGGGGCCCGGCGCAGCCCATACGCCCATCGTGCACGCCGAGCTCGAACCATCTACCGTCCCAGATGGCGACATCGTTCAGGAGCGCGTCGCCGTCCCACCCACCGAACAGCACCAGTCCGCCACGCCACGCCACGCAGGAGTGGCCGCTGCGTGGGCATGGCCCGCATACCTCCGAGGCTTGATGTCGGGTCCACTCGACGCCATCGAAGGAGAGCAGGTCGTTGTAGAGCTTCGGGGGAAACCCGCTCAGGTCGCAGCCGCCGAAGAGCCACAGCTTGTCCCGCCACGAGACCACTGTGTGGTTCGAGCGCGGCAGCAGCGGGCCGCCCCCGACGCTGAGGCTCTTGCACTGCTGAGGCCCGCCGCTGATGTTCAGCTCCCAGACGTCGCTGTGGAATCGCTGGCCCCTGGCGCTCCGGGAGCACCCCGCGAAGAGCAGCAGGCGCCCCTCCAGCACCGCCGCGGCGTGGTCGTGGCGGCCCTTGCTCGCTGGCGGAAGCGTCCGCCACTGCAGCTTCCGCTCGCCCGCGCGCAGTGCCCCAGCGTGCACGCCGTTGCCCACCTTGTCGGCGCACACGCCTCCGCAGGTGACCAGCGTGTCCTCCCCGCCCTGCCGCACCAGCGCCGCGGCGCAGCTGCGCTGGCGGGGCGGCAACTCACCCTCGCAGGCCCACTGCGTCCAGCACCACATTCCCCGGGCGCAGGCGGGGCCGCAGGGATCGCGCCGGAATGGACTGAGCTACGCCACGGCCCGGCATGGTTCTAGCCAAGCCACCTACGTGCGGCGGAGGTGGAGGCGTAGAGAAGGAGAGAGAGAGAGAGAAATGGGTCGACAGCAGCTGCCGAGAACGACGGTACGATCAGCTCGCGCAGCAAAGGATGGCGGCAGGACTCATCAAAAGAACAGAGCCTCGGCCAGCTAAAGCTGATGAAACCGCTATCCTCCTCCTGATGTGTGTCTGGCTCGAAACACAGGCCGGCACGTGCCCTTGGAGATGTTCGGGGGATGGTTTCATTAGTCGGATGTCTGGTCGCGTCTCGCGTCTCGCGCTGGTGTAGTTGCGCTCGCGCTTGCAAACGTGCTCACACGGGCAGTGCGACAGACATGCAGAGCCGGAACGCCCAACCACGTGGAAACACATCTCGGACAAGCGACGGGTGAGCGCGAGACGGGCGAGCAGCGACAGAGGTCAGCGGAAGGCACAAGGCATCTACGCACAACTAATTCGCGCGATACGCGCCATGCACAACAGCAGGTGAAGTGAACCGCATTCTGTCGGTCGGACCTTGTCGCGCGGAAGCGGAGGCATTATGCAGCCCTGAACCAGGCATCTGAGGGAGACCACGTCGGCGCCAAATTCCATGCGCGGGTCTCGCGATGAAGCTCCTCCCGCTCGTTCTCCGAAAGAGAGAACCCGAGGTCCTTCGGAGAGGAGAGAGCGGACGCGTGCCCGGAGCCAGGTCGCGACGTTGATGCCGCCTACCTCACGCGAGCACCGATGCTTCCCACACAGTGCTTGCGCTGGACGTCCTCACACGCTCGGTAGAAGCCCTGATGGATGGGTGTGCCGGGGCTCCGCCGGGTGCCCCCGGCAGCTGGCCGCCCGTGGGAGCCTCGCGGACGCCTCGGGCGCGCCGGGTGGCCGTGCCCAGCGCTTCGCTGGGCGCCCGGTCTGTGGCCGCCCGTGGGCGCCTCGCGGGCGCTCCGCGCGCTGGGTGAGCGTGCGCGGCTCGCTTCGCCCGGGGCGCACCCGCGGTCGCCGAGGTGCTCGCCGCGAGCTGCTCGCCCCGTGGGGCACCCGCGCGGGGTCCTCGGCCGACTGCGCCGCGTGGCTTTGCACCACGCAGCTCGCAGCACCGCTGCAGCACGTCGAGGGCGGAAGGGAGCGCAGCGTCTCTGGGGCCCATGCCGGGGAGCGTCTCGCGCTGGGGGAAGGAACACGCACTCGATCCTCGAAATCCTGGGGCCCCTCCTGGCCCCTGACACTGTTGAGGAGGGCCCAGGGACACACAAATAAATACACACAAATCCCAGGATTCTCCATATTTTCCTATCTATACATATATATATATATATACATATATATATATATATATACGAGTTCCGTCTTCCCCCCCACTTCCCATAGTTTCCCATATTTTCTGGGGATCGACTATATATATATATATATATACATGTATATATACACATATATATATAGGAGTTCTGTCTTCCCCCCCACTTCCCATGTTTTCCCATATTTTCTGGGGGATCGACGATGACTTGTGTCTGTGTGTGTGTTTCCCTCCTGAGCTATTGGCATACACTCCCGAGTCGTTTTGGGATGGTCCTGGGCCGCAGAGGGGCCCCAGCAGAGCGAAAGCGGCGAACACCAAGCTCCAGGACACTTTGCCTTCATGGCGACTCTTTGTCCATGCCTCCTCCTTCTCCTCCTCCTCCTCCTCCTCCTCCTCCTCCTCCTCATCCTCCCCCATCCTCCTCCTCCACCCACCCACTTCCCTCTCAAAGGCGCCCTGGAAGGACCCTGTGAGCACGAAGTCGAAGGAAAAGCTTGAGCACCCCTCTCCTCCAATATCCCATCTCTTCATGGCAACCCGCCGTCCGCACCGCCCGCTTCCACCCAGCATGCCGGCCACCGCGAGCTTGCGAAATGCGCGAGGCCCCGAAGGGTCCCCAAAAGTTTCCTGAAAAGCTTGACTGTAAGGGTCCGAAGTTTGTGTTTCTAGGAAGCCGTGCGCGGGCGGGCATGGACCTGGATTCGGTCGGCCGCCAATTATGTCCCGTTGCTTCCTGTTGTCTCCTGCTGTCGTCCAATGTTTCTCGTTGATTCCCGTTGTCTCCCATTGCCTCCCGTTGTTTCCCATTGGCTCCCGTCATCTCCCTGTCCAATTCCTAGCCTTGTATCCCTTCGATGGTCCATTCGATCCCTATCAGAAATCCCGATCCTCATCCCAGTCCCGATCCTTATCCCTACATCCCTATCCCTGTAACCTTACACCTATACCGCTACACCTACCCCTATCTCGTTGGTGTTCGAATTCGTTTTCGCATTCGCAGTCCGCCTCCGATTAGGATAAGTACCCACCACGTGCGTACTACTTTCAAAGTGTATCTATCTCTAGATCTCACATTAGCAGACGTATTCGTCGTGCCAGCGTCATTAGTGATAGAAGTCCTACAACAGGAGGTCAGTAGTACGCGTCTTCGTAGTCTTACTATTGGTAACTGTAGTAGTTGTCCTAGTTTAGTCGTTGTCCTAATAATGCGCGTTTCCAAATCGACACCGTTGGCATGAAACAAACGGGTCCTGAGGGGAGCAGGTCCTGGACCCTGAGGGCTTTCCTCGGAAGAAGTTCTTCATCCTGAAGGCGTAATTTTGTTGACGGTCCTTTGGCCCGGGGAGGGCCCGGGGAGCCCGAAAACGTGGATATACCCTAAGACCCCTTTCCCTCTTTCGTTCGTGGCGAAAGATGACAATCCGCTTCACCTGACAGGCCGCATCGAGACGCGATCGCTCGATCGATCGATCGATCGATGATCGACTAGACAACCGTATGTGAAGCATACCTCAGCAGGCCAGGCTTCTGAAACGCCGGCTGGGGTTCAGGATTCGAAGGATGTCTGCAGCCAAGTAAGCCCCAGCGGGGGTGTCCGGTACAGCAGGCACAAAAGAAACCCGGGAGCAC